GGTTGCCCGGCTTGGTCTGGTGGTCTGCCTTACCTTTAAAATGCTTGCCTTTATTTCTTAGGGGGTGATTCGTAGAAAGAAATCGACGATGGCCAAGGTACACGACCTTTCGACATTTTTTCAAGAATATACCTTTAATGTCATCGAAACAGTGCGTGCATGCATTATATCCCTTGTTTGATTGCCCTAAAAGATTACTTAGAGCAGGCCAATCATTGATTGTTATGAACAACAATGCTCACAGGTCAAAGTGCTCCTGTTTGTGCTCATCCCACACACGTACATCTGGTCTGTTCCACAAAAGTAGAAGTTCTTCAACTAGTGGCCTCAGGTACACATCGATGTCGTTGCCAGGTTGCCTTGGGCCTTGGATGAGCACTGACATCATAATAAACTTACGCTTCATGCATAACCAGGGAGGAAGGTTGTAGATACATAGAGTAACAGACCAAGTGCTATGACTACTGCTCTGCTCCCCGAAAGGATTCATACCATCCGTACTTAAAGCAAACCTTATGTTTCTTGCATCATTTGCAAACTCCGGGAATTCTCTATCGATTGCTCTCCACTGGGACCCATCAGCAGGGTGTCTCAACATATTGTCTACCTTACGGTCTTCTTTGTGCCATCGCAACAACTTTGCATGGTCTTTGTTTCTGAACAGACGTTTCAAGCGTGGTATTATAGGAGCATACCACATAATCTTGGCAGGGATTTTCTTCGTGGGACGTTCGCCCTCAACATCACCAGGGTCATCTCGCCTGATCTTATACCGCGATGCATGACATATCAGGCATGCATCTAACTTCTCGTACTCCTTGCCACGGTAGAGGATGTAGTCATTAGGATATGCATGTATCTTCTGGATTTCTAATCCCAAAGGGCAGACTACCTGTTTTGCTTCGTATGTAGTGGCAGGCAATTCATTATCCTTCGAAAGCATCTTCTTTTGGATTTTCAGTAACTCCCCAAATCCCTTGTCAGATACACCATTCTTTGTCTTCCATTGCAGCAATTCCAGTGTGGTACCCAACTTTTTCTGCCCTGCATCACAAGTTGGGTATAGCAATTTCTTGTGATCCTCTAGCATGCGCTCAAACTTGATCTTCTCCTTTTCACTTTTGCATTCTCTTTATGCATCACGAATGGCCTGACCAAGATCATCAGCGGGCTCATCTTCTGTCCCTACCTCTTCTTCAGTTTCCCCCATTGCAGTATCATTGAAGGCACCATATTCAGCAATAATATCATCATCGTCCCATTGTTCTTCTTCACCTTCTTCCATTACAACCCCAGTTTTTCCATGCTTCGTTCAACAAATATAGTTTGGCATAAAACCTGACTTCAACAAGTGTGAATGAAGACTCCTTGAGCTAGCATATTCCTTCAAATTCTTACATATGGCACATGGGCAGCATATGAAACCATCGCGTTTGTTTGCCTCGGCCACACGTAAGAAAGAATGCAGCCCTCAATGAACTCTTGGGAGTGGCGATCAGCATTGTACATCCAATGCCGGCTTATCTGCATTACACGACATACATACCATATTAAAAGCTAGAGCATAATTAATTAATTATACGACATGCATGTCACCACACAAGGTATTAATTTATGAAAGTCTCGCTACAATGTAGACAAACCCAACTACCACTAAAAAAACTAAAGCTAAAATACACTTCAGCAGCATAAGGATTCCGCGACCAATCTCAACTAAAACAGACAGATCATGCGTTTGTTCAACATCTATGGGTTTCTTCCGTAGGATCACTGCCTCATCAGCCGCCGTAGCCGCCTGTGCAAGAGAGTTTTGCACGTGTTCAACATACTCTTCCTCCCAGTACCAGCCTGAACATCCAGTGCCATCCCACTGAAATTAAAATAAAAAATTAGAACTTTAATCACAATCATCATGAAAATAAGTATAAATTAACCATAATCATCAAATGCGACAAAATAACTCACATTGCGATCCGGACACTTGTAGAAGATACGACCCTTGTTGGGACACTCCTTCCTCACCCGGTACTCCATCACAATCTTCTCCTCACACTTGCCGCATGCAATGAGAGGGAGGTCCGGCCTCAGTCGCTTTGGAACCCGATGAGAGGCCGAGGACCCGGAAGCAGTTGCCATCTACTCTCTATACTCATTTTTAATATAATATAAATTTCTCATTTTATAAACAAATAAAATTAAAAAAACTCTAAAATTCTCTATATCTCTAAACCATGAAGTGTGCTATATATGTTAGAAATGAAAGCTAAATACTAGTTTTGAATAACTACTTTAACCTTCCTTCATCCAAATATGCAAACTTTAAAGTGATTTTGAGTTTAAATGGCTTACAAATAAAAAAAATCCACCATAAAAAATCACATATATCTAGTCCACAAAATGAGATATGCTACTGATGAAACATGAAAGTATAAAGTTGGTAACCTTTAGAATCGAAGAATCGATGGAGGAATCAAAGAAATCTTGTGATTACCAGCGATAAGGAAGAAGAGAGGCCGGCGATGAAGCAAGAACACTGAGCTCGAAGTGGCTCGGGCTCGGGGAGAAAGAAGGGGTATATAGGAGGGGACCTTTAGTCCCAGTTGGAGACAGCAACCGGGACTAAAGGTCCCTTTCTAGTCTCGGACGGAGCCTCCAGCCGGGAGTAGACTTTTACTCCCGGTTGGAGGGACCAAGCGGGAGTAAAAGTTAACCTTTAGTCCCGGTTGGTAACTCCAACCGGGACTAAAGGTCCCCTGCAGCAAAAGCCTGCCGCAGTAGCCGTTGGGCAGGGACCTTTAGTCTCGGTTGGAGCTACCAACCGGGACTAAAGGTTTCTCTAGTCCCGGGCACGAAAAATACCGGGACTAAAGCTAAATTTCGAAGTGGATCAAAAGTCATTTTTCTACTAGTGTACAGGATAAAGCTAGTAGATATTCTACACCTCCATTTCCTTTATTTATTTATTATTAACGTTTATCAACCAGACTAGCATTTTGGCTTGATATTCAGTGTCGTGTCTATCCGGTCTCATTCCGAACCCCACCCCACATCCCATCAAAAAGAAGACTAATACATTGTTTATTGTCAAACATGTACTCCCTCTGTTATAAAATACAAGGTATTTGTAACTCCTTATGTTTTTCCTTATGCAGCAACCCCCTAAAAATTTGAACTTTTTAAAAATGATACAACAAACTAAAAAGATGTTTCCTTGTTTACATGAAAAACCATTTTTGAAAATGTTTGTAAAGCTTGCATTAAAATGCATTTTTTGGAGTTTTTGTGTTTTCCTAAATTTATTGTGGCACCAAGACACCTCTTTCAAATTCCAAATCAAATCCCTCAAAACACTTCTCTCCTAGGGCCAGCCACCACTTCTCGCATGCTTTCTTGTTTTGACTTGCTTGCTGTGTTTGGGTTTTTTAGACTTTTTTGCTGTTTTAAAACTACTTCCCCTTTGTTTTAGAAAACCTCTCCTCAAAATCTTGCTTTATCCATATCTTGAATCCCCTCTGCAAAATCTTGTTTTATCCGTATCTTAGAATCCCTCTTCAAAATCTTGTTTTATCCATATCTTGAAGTCCCCCTTCAAATCCTATTTCTTTCTTATTTTGAAAATTCCTTTTTTTAAATCTTGTTAGTTCTTATTTGGAATGTCTACTTCGAAATCCCACTTTACTTACTTCTAAAACCTCCTTTCTTTTGAAATACTTGTTTTTTTAAACCTATCTTTTTATTCTGTTTTGTATAACTTTCTTCTCAAATCCATCTTTTGAAAATTAGCTAGCCAGTTACCGCATGTCCGCATACCATTCAGAGCATTCTCTTCTGAAACCTAAACCCCTTCTTAACCAACCCTCCTCCCACCTAAACACCCTAAAATCCTACCCTAGCTAAACCCCTCTTTGGTTAGAGCTTGCTGAGTACTTTATGTAGTTAATCCTATACTATGTTGTGTTTTTAGGAAGGAAGTTATAGGATCGGAGCATACACAAGGATACATGAGATTGACGTCATAAAGCCCATAGAAGGGGAAGGCACAAGCGTTCATATAAGAATAAAGATATAAAATGCACAATAGATCCGTCCTCATTCCAAAAATTTATGTTCCCATATGTTCGGTTTTTTAAGTTCTATTTTCTTTTTTGATCCTCACCTCTTTGTAAAATTCTCTCTTCTCTTGGGTCATCTCCTCTCCCTAGCTTCTCTCTTCCTAGTCGCCGGATGCTATGCCTCTGCTTTAGTTCTCCCTAAGCTAGCGGCTATGCTCCTCCTCTCAATGTCGGTACTCTCTCCCATGCCATGCCCATGCCCGTCCCTACTCAATCGCTCTGGTGCCTGCTCCCCTATGTCGGTGACCTACGTCTCGCTCCTCCTCAATCATGCCAGCGATGGTGCAAACGTTGCAAACGGGAGAAAGAAACATGTGTTCGCAACTTCGCACTTCGCAGGGCCGATGAGACGGTCACATGGTGAGATCTACTTGATCACGTGCCGTGAAAGGCCAATAGCGGCTCTCGCGAGGTTCAATGACAACTTTTTCTCTTCCTTTATTTTCTGTCTTTTCCATGTAAGATACAAGTTGAATTATGCCCTATTATCTCGGGCCTGGCTCCGGCTCCTCGTGTACTTTAGTAAGGAGTCGGAGTAGTTTGGAGTCCTACTAAATGGGGCCTTAGGTTAGACTCTTTATAGAGAAGTTAGCGTGGCAGTGTTGATGATGCTCTTATGACAAAACTAGATGGATTCATATTTGTGATCACTGATCGGAGAAAATACTATACTTTATTAGAGTAGCACTGGATCCAAAGTTTGGGAACTCACGGTGGTATGCATATATGCACGGCCGCTGGTACTGTCTCGCAGCTCGATAAGTGAGCAGTGAACGTGAGCCACCTCGACCTCTCCATCCCACACTGGCACAATCGCAGCAGACACACACACCTTCCTCAGCAGCCGCCTCTCTCTCTCTCGGTCTTTCTCACCCCTCCTCTCAAGCCATGGCCCTGGACATGGACAGCGAGCCGCCCACGCCGACGACCCAGTCCTCCTACTTCTCGGGCTGCATGGCCTCCCCAGCGTGGCTGCCGCCGGGCGTGCGCCGGAGCCCCGCGCGCTTCCAGCTGCTGGCCCGCGGGGACGACGCCGGCCGCGGCAGCGGCCGGCGCGCGTGGAGAGGGCTGCTCCGGCGGCTGGTGCGGGAGAGCAAAAGCATCGTCTGCAGCAACGCCTGCAGGGCGCCCGTCGCGGCCACCTTCAAGTACGACGCCGACAGCTACGCCAAGAACTTCGACGACGGACGCTGGCACCGGCCCTGCGCCGCAGCTGCCGCTGGCTGTTGCCCCGCGCCGTCGCCGCTGTCGAGCCGCCGCCCGGTTGATCAGTCCACAGGAGAGAGCTAGCTTTTAGCTGTATTAGATTCTTGCTTATCTTTTCCTGCACTTGTATTTTTGGTTAGTTGAGTTGTAGCTGTTGATCTTGAAACGGTGGTTGCAACGCCGGTGTCGAGGATGATGGATTCATCAGTCATCACTATGCCGTTGCTTCTTGGTTGTACAGAGGATTGGAGATGTCTCAAACAGAGTTCGTTCTTGGCAAAACTCCTTGCATGAGTGCGTCCCACCCTCGCTCTCAATTTATAGCTTGTGTTCATGAGTCATGACTTCGATTTCGCTTGTGTTCATGACTTCTTGTGAATTGTGATGAACTGCTGATCCGATTTTTTTATCCAAAAAAATAAATAAATCAGCCCACTGTCTTTGAAAGGAGCACTGAAGCACTCATCACTCATTAGAGAAGAATTAATTTGGTTGGAACTTGGAAGGGAATGAGGTTATGGGAGTGGGGGTGACGAATTGTTTAATAACAGGAAAGTGAACCAAAAGCAACACGGCGCAGATCAACCACCTGAGGAAAAAATCAAGCAGTAACCAATAAATACAATATAGCCATGATATCGATGCATCATGAGCGAGATGATCGAAAAAGCAAAGCCTCACTGTCAGAGTGATGTCTAGTCAGCATCAAGCTCAATAACTAAACCGTGTGGAATTGATCCATGGATTTGCTTTGCATCTGATGTCAGTAGCGTTAGTGCCACCATATCTGATTTCTGATATCTTCAGGGCAAGCAATAGATATCCCTTGCTTTGCTTGCAAAGCGATCGAAACAGCCGGTCCCGACGTAGACGAGGGCGGCCTTTTGGATCTCTGGCGCCCTGTTCGGTCAAATCCGTCTTGACCTGGCATTTCCGGCACGGCATTGCTTGTGGCGAGAGCAAGAGCCATTGGTTGGTTGGTTTGGTTCGTCCTGAACTTTGATGCCGTGCCATCTGAAACCGAACTACATGCGGCTGGCAGTACTGATGACACTAGCTTACCAAACAGCATATATACGTCCTACATTCGTAGCAACAGTAGTATCACTGTAGCACCCGTTCAGTTTAGGTATTTTGGGGGTCCCTCACTGTAGGGGCTTGTTTAAATCCAGGAGCTTAAGTTTAGGGATGTTATATCGAGTGTCACGTCGGGGTGTTACGTGGGAGTGTTCGGATAGTAATAATAAAATAAATTACACAAGTCATCAGTACTCCACGAGACGAATTTATTAAGCTTAATTAATCCGTCATTAGCACATGTGTTAATGTACCACCACATTGTCAAATCATGGACGAATTAGGCTTAAAAAATTCGTTTCGTAAATTAGTCGCAATCTGTGCAATTAACTATTTTTGTAGTCTATATTTAATACTCTATGCATGTATCAAACATCCGATGTGATAGGGACTAAAGTTTAGGAGGGGTGAGGCCTTGTTTAGTTCCTCCCCTAAAGTTTAGTCTCTATCCCATCAGATGTTTGGACACATGCATAGAGTATTAAATATAGACTACAAAAATAACTAATTGCACAGATTGCGACTAATTTACGAGATGAATTTTTTAAACCTAACTAGTCCGTGATTCGACAATGTGGTGCTACAGTAAAGCTACAGTACATATGCTCGTGACGGTTTACTTCAGCTTAATAAATTCGTCTCGCAGAGTATATAATTTATTTTATTATTACTATCCGAACACTCTCGTGTGATACAAGACATGACTTTAGACACCAGTGTAAATGTCTGGTCGTGAGCAACAGTACTGAAGAATGTCAGGCCGACAGGCCGTGGCAGCGCCAGCCAAGCCAGATGATTGGGCTCGTCTGGACCGAGCTTTGCTGGAGCTTGGTGCAGCGTTGATTTCGCTTTGAATGGATGTCCCAAGCAATGAAACAGTACCAACAACTGTATGCTTATTATTAAGGCTATGTTCGGAGGTTTGACCAGGACAGACGACTGCATAGTCGCATACCAGCAGGACCTCGATTAACCGTGGCTTCGCGTGTCACTGTGTTTACTCGAGTTCATTGTAGTAAATGTAAGTTATAATATTTGTTAATCGACGCAACAAGGACTCCGTGGCCCAATGGATAAGGCGCTGGTCTACGGAACCAGAGATTCTGGGTTCGATCCCCAGCGGAGTCGATTCGTTTTGTTTGTTTTCAATTTCAACAGGCCACCCAGCGGACCGGATTCATTTTGTTTCTTTTCACCAGGCGAAACTGAATTTCTTTTCTATTTTCACCGCAGTCGATTCATTTTGTTAACCATGCCAAACTGATTTATTCTTTTCACCATGCCAAACTTACTTTTCTATTTTCAGCGGACTCGACTCTTTTCTCCTTTTCACCTATATCTAGATTTTTACCATATTAGACAGAATTATCTTTTTTTTCTTTTACCTATACCCATTTTTTTACCATGCCAAACTGGTTTACTTTTTTTTTCTTTTTTTCACCGGACTTTTTTTCGCAAATTTCCAGTTATTTGCCCTAAACAGTTCAGTTTGTTTACCATGTTATAAACTAGAATTTTTTATTTTACCAAAAAACTAATAATATTTTAAAAAGAGAATGTCTAAAACTAAATTTTCAATAACTAGTACTTTTAGTCACGTTAGAGACCGTGCGACTCGTAACTTTGATCACGTCACATGTGTTAACGTGACCAACTAAACACGCTAACACGACTGTAGATACTTCTAGGCAAGCCACGCTAACACGAGTCTGAGTCTCACCATTGTAGATGACACCATGGCCAGCTGAGCTACACCGTAGGCACTGTTCGCTTATCTTATAATCCGTCTTTTTCAGCTTATTCTTTAGTTGGAATAATATTTTTCTCTCACAACAAATCAGTCGGAACAGTGTTTTCGACTTGTTTCTTCAGCGAAGCGAACAAGACCACAGTGGGTGCTATGATTGTGCAAGGGCCAAGGATGTCACATCAAATCTCATGGCGTAGCAAGCCTGTAAATGGAGGAGGTGTTGCCGTAGATGGAGGAGCTACACCATAGTGGGTGGCGCACGGTGTGTAGGAGAGGAGATGTTGCGGTAGATGGAGGTGGTATGTAGGGAGAGCCGGCGACGAAGTGTCGGCGCCGATGCAGATGGAGGAGGTGGCCGTGCAGGGGTCCGAATCTGGCCGTGGGGATCTCCGATAGCGAGGAATAAGGCAGTGGCGACTGGGCGGAAGGCCGAGGTCATGCGTGAGCGTGAAACAGGCAAACAAGAATTTGTGTAGCCAGTTGTTGGCTCAACAGAAATGGATGGTGGGAGGGGAAAAAATAAGAGAACAACAAATTTGGGAGGCCTAAAAGGTAACGAGCTCGAGCTGTTTTTTTTCTTCCACTAAAAAAAAAGTATGGGCCTCGGCAGTGCTGTCGGAGATGCTCTTACGTTGCATGTTGATATTTATTTCATGTTTTGATTTTTTTTATAAAAGACTTGTATATTCTAAAAGTTATCAATTTTTTTGGATAAATGCTAGAAAATAAGCATAATCCATTTTACTTGCATTTGTCATCATCTCTTATAGTTTTGAATTTAAAATTCTTCTCTAACACTATATTTGAGGCTATAGCCTCAAAATGGACTCCAAAGATCCAGAAAAAAATACCTAAATTCATGGTTCCTAAATTCTTCGATCCCAGCAGAGTTGCTTTCCTTTTTCCTTCCTCCATATTCGAAGCATTGTTTTGAACATGGACTCTTGCATGTACATGTACGTGAGGAGTACACATACGTGCCGAACTCACCTCCATATTCGAAGCATCGTTTTGAACATGGACTCTTGCATGTACATGTACGTGAGGAGTACACATACGTGCCGAACTCAGACTTTAATCTCCATGCTCGCGTTCATAGCCAAGTTCCTAGGATTCGAATACGGATACAGATCTTGTCGAATACGAACATAAAATGAATGTCTCGGATTCGCATTTCTATTCGGATTTACTCAATTCAACAAGTATATAAATCAATATAACAAATAATCAATCATTATTTAAGATTTAATAAAAGAAGGTGGATCAACAAAAGGGTCCACCTTCAAACTAATGCAGACATGCATACATCCACATATAGCACGTGCAGATTAAGAGCAAATCGTCAGTACGATATGAAGAGCAGAAGAGGCCAATGGCACCACACGGGAAAGTTTAATCTGCACTTAAGGGCATATGCCCCCATGTGCAGCACCGTTGGACTGAATTCAATGGTGAGTTTCTAGCCAGAACTCCTTCTGAACACGATGCAATGACTGTTCTGCGTTTCATGATGCATAAGGATAATTCAAACTGAACGGGATCGTTGAAGTCGTAGGAGGCAGCGTCTCCTGCTGGTTCCTCCTCGGCGTCCTTGTGAGAACACCTGCAACTTAATGTCTCCTTGGCGACTCCCCAATCTCTTCTTTTTGTACCGAGAGTAGCAAAACCAGCAAGCCGCCACAACCGCCAAAACTACTAACACGGACAGGAGTGACACAATGACTATGAGCAGGGTGTTGCTGCTTACATCCCAGTGTGGTTGGGGAGGTGGATGTAACAGAACCGACCAATTATACGAAATTAAGTAAGAAAATCATCCGCCAGATCAGATGATTTAGCAAACTTAAGCCCGTATAACCCGGTAGTCCGTGAAATCACGAAGGATTTCAAATCAACTTACATCCCAGCCAAGATCGTAATAAGTTTAGCGGTCACCATCACATATTACATAAAAGTTCGCATCTCAGATACATCAGAGTTTAAAACATAGTTATTACAAAACGAGTTCGAATAAAAGTAGCGGAAGCCATTTGTTTAAAACCACACACACTCACACGGAGTTCAAATACAGTGCTAGCTGATGATCATCTCCAACAAAAGCATTAGACGAGACGTACGGAATGACCATGCCCATGGTCCTAAGCATCACCCATCGCAGGATAAAGACAGTTGATACATTAGCCGTAATACATCTGCCCATCTGCAACAAGTGGGAATAAAACTCTGAGTACGAGAAGGTACTCATATAGACTTACCC